CCCTGCTTAATCCACTATTACCTTGAGGCTTTACCTCGGAAAAGCCACTTACTTTTCCATCTTTCAAATTGAAAAATTGGATTTGCAGTTTGTTCCATTCTTAGATGTTTGTTTTGCTTGTGGCCAGAGGGCGGCCTTGATAAGGTGAGTTGGGAAAATATTTTGTTTATCCCTCTGAAATTGGTCTGTCTAATCTTTGAGTAGTTGCAAAACAACACAAATTAAAAAACAAAACAAAACTGACAAGAAATCATCACAGGCATTCTCAAGGACTGCTGAAAGTGAAATGGACTAAGAATCCATCTGCTTAAAATAGCCCTTTTGAGCTGAGTGTTATCCAGTGGTCAGGTATTTCTTGAAAGGCATTACTTGGGCTCTCATCAGATTCTGGCTCTGCAGCAAATATTCCCTTTGAAGACGCTAAAAGCAGCCACACTGTCCATCACAGCACCCCCAGTGGAAGTGCGCTCTCAAATATCCTCGACCCAAATCTGTGAGCTCGGCAGAACACAATATAGACACGGACAAATAAACACCTCGATCACATTCAGCCTCACAAGCAACAATCTTCTGTTTGGGCCTGCCTCTTTTTAAAATCATGTTTTTGTTTATGTAGTCCTACAAAAAAGTATCAGGTTCATAAGGTTTTATCGCTAATGCCAATTCAATCTCACAGCGTATGATTGAATCTTGTTCACAGTGGAAATAATTGTTATTTTCTTGAAGGTAAGGGCACTGAATATGAATGAGATTTGATATAAAGAAATGTGTTCCAATGCATTTCTGTCTCTCCTCCCCATCATACATCAGCGTCATATTAGAGTACAAGTCATTCATTCAACACCACTGGTACTTTATCATTGTCTACAGTCTATCCCTGCTGACTTGGTCCATTAGATTGGGAAACCATGGACAGTCTCCTATCCAAGTGCAATACAGAAGGTTGCAGAGATAAATTACCATGGTGAGGTGTGACTTCATTCTGAGGTCTTCATGTAACATATATTGAGTATGTACCATGTCATTAAATAATGTGCTGTTTCACAATCTGTGATAACATAATAAAATATAACCTAACCCTGACCCTAACCCCAAAGGCAATAATGGGTGATATTTCTAGGACTTTTGCTCACTCTATATATATATATATATATATATATATATATATATATATATATATATATATATATATATATATATATATATAGTAATTTATTTTGAATTGTTAATTGCTAAACTGTATTAGACTTTTATCACTCTGAAGCTCATAGATATCTTAGCGAAAAATATGTGCTGTCCTATTGAGTCCTAAGGTTGTGTTTAGAGAGACAGGGCATTGGCTGTCTGAGGCATATGATCAGCACCACACATCGTGGTAGTATTGACTATTCAAATTTGGCTATGTTTCCAGACTTAGAGGGAAAACTGCAGAAAAGCTGAAGAAACAGCTTGCAAAGTTTTGAATTTGTATCCACTGAAACACATCAAGTCTCCAGTGCAGGGCCATGAACTAAACTTCACCAAAATCCTCTTCCTCAGTCCCGGTAAAAGAGTAAAGTTAACATGGACATTTCCAGTGTGGAGCATGTGTGTTTGTGTGAATGAAGTTCACCATAATTCTTCCCCTTCGTCCAGGTAACCATGTAGTGGAAATGAAAATTTTCTTGTTTCTGCATATGCGGCAAAAACAAAAGTGAAATGTTAATGTGTGTAAGTCTGTGTGAGGATAATCTGTGCAGCCTTTTACATTTATTTTGAGTTATAACTGGACATTGTATACCTTTTCACAAATACAGACACTGAAAAAAGAACTGTGAAGGAACTGTATTGAAAAGGCTGTATTGTTAAAGTACTGAGAGAAAAAAATATAACAGTGACCAGCTGTAGAGTTGACTAAAGAACCTGATACTGTTAGGGGAGGACAAATTCTGTAACAGTTGGATGCTGCCATTCATAGAAACGTCAATAATGATAAAACTGGAGGTGTCCTTGTTTTGCCTTTGCGAGGCTAGAAAATTCCAACACAATATAATTAAACATTATTATTTTTGCACAGTGCATAGCCTTTTCAATGTGCTAATTATATGGCATGCTGGAAATGAGCGCTACAACCCCCCTCCCAACCCCCCAAAAAAGTTTCAAAATATGCATAATATCTTCCCTAGTCTCTTAGCAACTTCACCTTTACAAAAGCTATTATGCCTCGATCTGTACTTTAGCACAAAGTGGAACTGTAAAAATCGTGTGACTCCGCAGTCTGGCTCTGCTCTGCTCTTCCTCGTCTGTCGGTGCTCTTGTTCGGCTGGCTGTATGTCCTGTTAAATGATTAGTAAGCCCACAAGTGAATGTATGCAAAGCCTTCTCCACACTGCAGCTTAGCACACAGTGGGCTTATATACACCTTGGTGAATTCCCTGTCACACCAGCACAAAGGCATTCAGTGTGTGGGTAAGTCTGGGAACATCACATTCAAACAAATACATTTATTTAGACTTCAATCTGTACATATCCTATACCTTTGAAAAAAAAAAGAAACATTTTGTCATGGTAAGTCTCATGCTGTTTCATGTTATCAAATCAGCTTCAGCCGTAAATCAAGTAAAATATTCTGTTTAGTGACAATGTTAACGCCTGTAGATGGAGATTAGGACTAGATAAACAGTGTGAAGCGTCATGGTCACAGTGGGACCACTGCCAAAGAGGAGCTCCTCACATATCTTTATGTTTATACAGAAAGAAAAGTCCCAGTGTGAGGCATTAGCAGGCTGGGGATGAGCAAACCAAAGCCCTGATACGTGCTCCTGCTGTAATAGGGAGACGCTGCGAGGGACCTGCTCTGTTTGATATGTGTGCATTGCCTCCTATGTGTTTACTCCTGTGACAGATACGGCTGCCTATCTTTACGCCTTTCCTATCTCTAATGGCGTGTTGTTCTTTATGCGCAGCACATTAAAAGCAGGGCTATTTTTTACGCCAGCCGTTTAAAACAAATTCATTTCCATTTAGTTGGCCGTAGACATGACTTGCTAGTTTGTTTTATCACTGTGGAGTCTGTGTTTATTTAGTAATGCTATCTGTGTAGCTGCTCTGTGCATGGCGCGCTCAGACAGCTGCAATGTTTTAGGCAGAACAGACATAGATTTCTATCGCTGACCCTAAGGCGCCTCATTAGGATTCCGAGCACCTCTCCTCTGCACACTCTTGCTTTTCTCTGTGCTGTCTCCTACATTCAAAGAGGGAACACTGATAGTGGTTATTAGTGAGCTTTCATGGGAGAGGAGTCATGATGCGTTTGCGCAATCATGATTTCTACTAGATATGTACTATTTATGCTATGTTAAAGGTATAGTATGAAACTTTCTGGAGGTGACATGGCACCTGCTTGATTCCATGGAAATAGTTTTTTTTATTTTATTTATTATGGATATCGATTGTTTATCCAGAGAAACTGGTGGCTCTGCCAATATTTTTTGGCCAATATCTTAGCATTTACTACAAACTCACACACATTAATTTTTACCATAAACCTATAAGGAAGAAGTGTAGTCACGTTTTGTGCAATTATCTCTTCAAACTACAGTATTTCAGTAAAGCTTCATAAGTATTCTTGCAGTGGCAGTTCCAAAACAAAATATGGGCCTGTGCTGGAGATGTAAGGCCAATAGCTGATGCATTAAGAAGTGCAGTCTATCTCTATTCTCCATGGAGACAGATAAGTTTTATACTATTATTATGGAAGATATTATGGTCAGTGGAACAACATTTCCATGGGAAAAAGCAGTGTCAGGTTTGTGGAGATGCAAGCCTGCTCACAGTGTGTTTTTCAGGAGAAATAAAAACTAAACATTGTCATAAGCACATAACTAAAAAAAAGTGTATATATCAAGTAGAGTTAGAGTAAATGTCAGGAGTCACTATTATTCTTTTTTTCAGTGAGCAATAGGTCACCACCTTTTATCTGTTTTCTTCCATACAAAAAGACAACAGAATGCACTATTTTGTTTCCTACAGTGACTAGATTTGTGTTTTTAACAGGTGGCATGCTAAAATGTTTTTATAAAAAAAGCATTCAGGCTGTTGTTCATCCCCAGTCTCTTCTTTCACTGTGGCCACATGTGTGTTGCTTTTATTCCAGTATCATTGTCCCAGGCTAATTGACCAATTCCACTTGGGGAAAGGTAATTGTTGAGGTCATTGGATGGGGCTTTCAAAGAGCTGCTTGAACGCTCCCGCTTTCATAATTGCGGCTTTTAGCCACAAGCTTGCTCATACATACCTGGCATACATACAGGAAGCATTTACATGACACTTAATAACACCCTCAACACCATAACACCATCTTTGAACTAATTTGTTGTTTTTGATAGATATTCAATATAAATGTGTATTTTGTGGGGTTTTATAATATGATTTACATGCTTGTATCCCTGGTTTGTGGGTAAACACCAATCAAAGATAACATTATGATGACTTACTGGAGAAGCAGATTTTAGGATACAATAGGTTGTCTTAATGTTGTACAATTTGTTGATGGAATAATCTCATCTAAGTCTAAATTTACAGGTTTTGAAAGAAATATTGAATTTTATGATCCATTGCTATTAAATCTTGTCAGTATTTGTTCAACATTAGGTCAACAAATTCATCATAATCTTGTTATGGCATGAAGTCCTTTTAAGTGACAGCAATCACATCTATTATTTATGGCATAATAAAACATCCAATATTTTTTTTTGTGCAATTGTCCAAAGCAGAAACAATGATGAATCATAATAAGGAAATTAACTACAAGTTTGCCCAGGTTGCTTAAAAATAATATGTTCTGATAGAAATGTGTTACAAAACATAATGCAAGTAGTCATGGTGTTTTCTTTAAAGCTTTCTGTATAATAGTGGATGTGTGCATGTGTGTGTGTGTGTGTCCATGTGCTTGCATGTCTGATTGCACATGTGACTGAACACACCCCAACAATAGTGCCCCTGTCTGTTTGTCCATGCAGAGTTTCTGTGAGTGTGTGCCCAGCTCCTCCCAGCTCAAACACCGCTGGTCAGGCTCTGAAACAGCCAGGGAAACACCGGCCAAGGTAAGGCCTGTTGTTATCCGCCTATATCTGTCTGCTACAGCATAAATTAAGACAGACTGGTCTCTATGATGTTGATGTAATATATTATCACAATTACCATGTTTTAGTTCATATTTTCACATTCAGTTCCAATTTTCAAGTTAATGAAGAAAATTTAGTGTAAAATACTCATAAACACACACATTGTTGTTCATTGTAATGCATGTAAACACAACTGATTGACATGAGATAAAAGCATGATTATAGAATCTTGACTTGCATGATGCATGGTGGATAAAATGGTTACATATATTGTGCAGTGGTCAGTAAAGGTGCAAAATGTAGGTTTGTTTTAAGTCATTTTTGAGCACCAATTAAGACCATTTTCCCGATACCACTTGGCTGGTTCCAGTTGAGTTCCAGCTGCGAGTGTCCAATTATATCCCTTTGGGAAATTTGTCAAGTCACGCTAAAATAAAATAAAAAATATGTATTTAAAGATCAAATGGGGAATGAGTTATGCATGGATAATCACTGACAACATATTAAGAACCCTCATGATGTAAATACTTTACTGGAAAATACTGCTGTATTTATAAAAGTGGTTGTTTTTGTCTCTAAGCTCAAGGCTAATCAAAATTTTAAAATAAGAAAACATGAATAATAAAAAAAAAATACAATTGGACTAAAGAGAAATCGTTTTTTGTAAATTCTGTGACTCAGTTTAAACATAAATAATACAATTTATTTTAGGTTAGAAGAGTGGTATCCTCTGGTGAACTATTTGCAATGTACATCAAGTTTGTAATTTGCTGTCAGTGATTATCCATCTCATTCACTCATTGTCTGCTGCAGTTTATTTTATTTTATACTAGAATGGTGGTGGAGTCATAACATTGTCACTATATCATTTTAAACTTTAAAGTTGTTGTTCAATTATTTTAACATTCAGGAGGTAAAATGTACACCTGTAGTGCATTCTATCTAAAGTAAAGTAAAATAAGTAAATAAAAATAAAACTGTAAATATATATATAGAATCACTGAAGTGTTTTCTTCATTCACTTTCCTCAACCTGAAACCCACAAGAGTTACGCAGTGAATTTTGACTTGTTCACCTGTGATGGCTTCAGAACTATTCCAGTAGCATTCCTATTGCAATCTCTGCAATCCTCTCTGCCTGATGCGGTGATGGCAGTGTGAGGGATTACTGCGTATTACACTTTACACATATCACCATCAAGCATGAGAGATGGCGCAACCTCCTCTTAGAAGAACCCAACACACACACACAGATACAGACAAGAATTAGAATGGATTAAGTCTTGTAGATTTCTTTGAGCAGAGCGATCGTGGCTTTATCAGCAAAAGGGCATGAATGTGGGAGTGTTTTGAAAGCAGTCATTTAAAGAATACCAATCTTTAAGTTGTACATTAATCAGCAAGGTCATGGGAATTGAATAAACAAATCAAGAATAAGACAATAACAACTGTTTTAAATTGCTTCATTTTTCAGTTTGTTTATGGCTTGAGAGTGCATATGAGGCATGTTCTGTTATGTTTAATTAGTATATGATTCAAAATGAGGATGTGGCCCATAAAATGGTTTCATAACATATATACAGAGCCATGTGGATATTTATATTTTGAAAGAATACATGCTGGTGAAAATGGAAAGAGACAGCTTGCATAGCTCCTGCTGGTGTCCTGTTTATCTAATGAGTGGACAATGCTTTTGGTCTGAGTATTGTCTGCCAATGTTTCTATGTGGGTGGACAACTGATGATTTCCATGGGGAAGGATTCCTCTCCCTGCAAACCTCTGCTCTCCCAGCCAACACTGGCCATTTCCCTGATGTCCCCTGAATATGGCATGGGTACTGAGAAGATGTGACGTCAGCCTCTAATTACTGACTAGCCCCATGCTGTGAGAGTGAGAGACTCATTTACACAAATACTGTGTTAAGAGGCTTTCTGTATCCTGTGCATTGTTACTGCACTAGGCCAAGCATGCTTTTGGCTAAATATATTCTATTGGCACATTATCCAGGTTCTCCTGATTTTTTACAGTCTTGTTTTCTCTGCCGAGGAATTACCTATTTACCTGCCTATTTATGTTTCACTTTGTTTTGGGTTGGTTTGCCAGCTGGATTGCAAGATAACCTATAATGTAATTTGGACAACATTTTCAAGAAAGTTCTTTATTTGTTGGGTATTGTGAAAATGTTTTAAAGGGTTGTAAAGTATTGCACGATCATATTATCTACTATATCAGGAGGTCAATACAAAACAAATACAGTTTTAATCCAGTTCAAGTTAGATAACTTGTAAAATACAGTCCAACATTTTGAGCATATCTGAGTAAATCTCAGACATTCTGTACTGAAAAGCACCCAAGGCTGTGCCCATTCAGCGTGTTTACAAAATAAAGCAATTACTGAAGTGTACATACTGCTACTAGACAAAAGCACTCCACATACGCTTGTTTCTAAAGACGTCACTCTGCGAACATTCACCAATCAATCAATCTCAGACATTTTTGTTCATCTAAAAAAATACAAATAAATCTTGGACTGTGTTTTTTGTGTTTGTCCTCACACTAATTTAATACATTTCTAACAGGTATGTGCTGACTCCAATGGCTAATACATTTTCAAGAGGCCTGTGGCAATCACACTTTTATATACCTCCAGATCCCAACTCTCCTCACTTTTCCCTTTACTCCTGCAGGTCTAACCCTCCTCCTCCCTTTAGAGCCCACCCCTCCTCCCCTCTCACTCTCGCCTTTAGTCTTCCAAGCACTGTCCAGTTTACCAGGTCTGTTTTAGATGTTAGTGGCATGTGGATGGAGTTTAGGTGTTTAGTGCCACTTCAAAGTGCCAAGAAAACCATGGCAACAATTGTAAATAACTCAGGCCCATTTGCAGCAGGTGTATGAAAGGAAAATTATAGCTGTCATGTTTTTAAAAAAATAAATTGTTTGAGAAGTTGCTAGAGATTGCCTCAAGACATTTTTCTTATGTTTTGTTATTTGATTGTTGAAAGGTATTGTGTTAACAAAATAAATGCTAGGGGACGATACTGACATTTAGGACAGTCAAAACACATCAATAATATGTGCTTTGGCATTTTTGAAGTCTTCTCTCAGATGAAAGTAATTCTATTCACAAAAAGTCTCTGCACTGGCTTTAGTGTCAGTTACCCGCTTCTAGCTTCTTGGAAAAGCTTATGAAACAAAACACGGTTAGCACCACAAGTCAAAGCACCTAAAACACTTGTATATGCAACATTTGGTTTAATCTCTGTTTTATAGCCCATAATATTTCACAAGTAAAGCTTTGGGGGAAAGCATAACATGCATAAAGAACATAGTCAGCTGCCTATTTTCCTGCTCAAATGGGATACCCTCACGTTACTCCAACAGTTTATAAACTTGCACAGATCTGCGGGATAAAGTCACTATCAGTTCGACATTAACTCAGTGTATGGTTGTATAGATAAAAAGTTTCTATACCTTTATATTGCAAAATAGTCAAGCAAAACTATGCAACAATAAAACCTAGAAAAGAACTGGTCATCAGTGACAGCACAACTAAAGAATACACATTTTACTGGGATAAGCACTAGAACATGAATCATGTATATCATGTATAACACTAGATATTCAAGCTTCTGTCTGACCTTGTATGACTCAATCTAATCATCATTTATTTTTGTGCACCAATACTGAACAACTGTCCAAACACTGAATTTAGCTAATAATATATATAGCTCTTACTGGTAATAATTATAATGCTGATTTATTCCTAATGACAAAAAACATGTTGACCAAGTTGTTTATATTATAATCCACATGTGGGTCTTTCATTTGGGTTGCAAGTTTCGATGCTGAAAACCAGTTGGTTTAAAGACTCTCTCTGATGTGAAATATCTTTACCTAAACTGACACCATCTTTAATCAGTGCTAGTGCAGCCTCTGCAGAAGCCTAGCAGTGAGTGAATTCCGGAGGTTCTGAGCGTTTGCATGAGGCATGGTATGTCCATATACTTACGAGAAAAACATCCAAGATTCCTCTATATGCAATTTATTTTTTAAACTGTAAGAGCACAGGGTACCTACAGTTAAGAATATAAGTACTACTCTATCCTTTTATTATACCATAAATAGACTGCAAACCCACATTTAGTATGTTGGACAGCACTTCTCCCAAGGCTAAAGGCTGTAGATAAACATGGCACAATTGATCTGCACACATCAGGGGAACCATAATGCTTCACTGTTAAAGCACACCATTAGCTGTGTATTAGTGTGGACCAGTGTGCTTGGGCATTTACATATTAACAAGCTGGCACACGTACTTTTCCATGCACACTGCAAATATAGTCATACCTGCCCACATATCAGAAAACAACACTTGGGAAATGAGTGTGGAAAGAAATCTCAGAAATAGCTCTCTCTCTGTTGCTTCTTCGTCTGATGATGCTCAGTATATTAATCATGTATGTGGAGAATGTACAGTCCTCTTCATCACTGATTCTCTGAACTGCACACAAACAGTTAGATCACTGGGACCTTTTGAGATGTATTTCTGAAAAGAATGGATGTTTGATGGCCAGGTTATTGTGGTCCAGTTATTGTTTTATACTCTTGTAATTTTTCATGTCCTTTCCACCTTTGTTTAATTTTTCTTGAACGTTTTGAATTTATATTGTTCTTTAAAGGAAAAATACAAACAAGAATATCATTAACTTTACATACAGTGTCTCTTACTAAGTATTATTTTATGCTCGAGCTTGTGTGGTATGCAGGGATTGGTACTGAAACAAAACTTATAGGTAAATGATCATTTCATCTTGCTCACACTTTTTCATTTCTTTGATCTCTCCCCTCTTTCTCTTACAGCGGATGAGCTGCAGCTACCTGCTCTGCACCATCTTGCTGTTTGTGGCCGTACTGCTGGCTGTCACCGTCACTGGCACTATTCTCTTCATGAACCACTACCAGGCCCCGCCCATGTCTGATGGCATGCCGCACATCTCCAACAATCAGGAGGAGGGAAATGCTCTGGTTACTATCGAGAGGGGCGATGGGTCACGCATCAACATCTTCATTGACCCTAACTGCCCCGATTACAACAGTAACTTCCTGCGCCTGGAGGGGGTGCAGACCTCACTGCTCCACTCGCTGACTGACCACGACTCGGACCTGAAGTCAGTCAAGGGCCAGGACAGGGCTCTGCTGGTCAGCCTAGCGGAGGAAGTGGCCAAGCTGTCGGCACACGCAGGGCAGCTAAAAATGGATTATGAGTCTCTGCAGAGGGGACAGAGCAGCCTGAGACAGGACATCAGCACTCTACAGACGGAGCAGGGGCGGCTCATACAGGTGAGGGCTGTGTATAAATAGTGCGACTTATAAATAGTCCACAGCACATCGAGAAACAATAGAAGGCTGGAGATTGTGTTTTGAAGCTCATGTTGAAACAGATGTTCATTATACGTTTCTGTGAATTAGGTGAAACATAACGCATATGTACCTTTAAACTGCCTGTAGAAGGTTGAATGTTGCCATTTAAACATGAAAAATGGGGCCAAGCATAAAGATGGGGCAAATTTGACAAGCAAAATTGTGAGGGGTGAGTGACTGAGTCAGACCATCTCCAAAACCATAGCTTGTGCTCTTGTTGGGTGTTCCTGGTGCATCTGTCAGTAGTCTAGGAAAAGAACAATGGTTAACCCGTGACAGCTGATGCAAAAACACCACATAAGAAAAAAATGTGAAATTATTATTGCCAATTGCGACATAATGTATGGTATGTATGTATGTATGTATGTATGTAATAATGCTGTGTCTATTCACCTAAGTACAAATCTGTGTACAGTAACTTAATCCACTGGAGTAGACATGTGTCAGAGCCAAAGCCATGGCATGGAGTCCTGTACTGGAGTGCTCACAGACTGGATTCTGGAACACCTATCAATACACATCGATTGTAAAACCAGCTTAAGATGGGTGACACTTCACTGGACAGAGGGCTACTCCTGTGGCAGCTGTAATTTGTCCTCTTCCTTTAACTGAAACTCTAATCAGTCTGGGATCTTAAGCCTACCTGACCATGCTCCATTCTTTAACACACCAACCAAGGCCCAAACCTCAGTATTATTCTACACTAACAAAGACATAGTGTGTATTTTAAGCTCTTTTACATTTTATCCATTGCAAACAGCTATACTCATCTAAAATGGCTCAGTTATAAAAATGGGTTCATTGATTTCCTGTTCAAAACTGTAGAACTGAGAAGACTGGACTGTACAAGCAATAGATTGTCATTTAGATGTTTCTAATGTTGAAAAAAGGCCTACCTGACATTTTTAAGCCTACATATATAGGCATCATTGGTAGAGCATTCAGATTCACTGGTTGTCGGTGCGATTCCAGCTCCCACAGATTAATGCAGTTGTTGTGTCCTTGGGCAAGACACTTAACAATTAATCCACCTTGCCCCTCTGAATCCATTGGTTTATGAATAGGTGAGTGGTTCCTTGGTAAACAATGAATACACAATTTGTTCAGTTCTAAATATCTGATAAAATACAATAACTAAGTGTAGCTCATTTAGCAAAAGTATGTGTCTTTTATTGTCATTTTTACCGTCTTTTTGACCTTTTCACTGTCTTTGTTGTTAATTTAGTGGAAAATAATGTATCTGTTATGCTAAAAGTAATTCACTGGGCTTAGAGGTAATTACATTCAACCATAAGACCATAAGTTCCATACAATGCAAGCATATTCTGTTAAGTATACAACAGCTTTTGCACTATTTGTAAAGGTGACGATGAGTGGGAAAAGACAGCCTTGAAAGCAGTACGCCTTACTTACTTCCTTGAAAGATGAAATCTTGTTTGTTAAATAGAAATGCTTTGTGCAACAGACAAGGTTATAGTTTCAAAACATCAATTTTATACACGCAAAGTATATGATAAACTTGAGAAGTCATAAATGTATTGCATGTCATTTCATAACAATGTACTGTGATCAGGATGATTTTACAGTGCATGTGTTCTTTATAATAATATGATGACTGTTTTATTGTGATAACTCTGAGAAATCAAAATCACAATTTGAATAGTTCTAATAAGCAAATCACAGTGACTAATAATTTTATGTATTTTTTTTGCAAACAACATTTCTTATCATCCAAAAAAAAAAAGTCTTTTTCAGTCTTTCTAATGTTAAAGGTCTTATTCACCTTATTTGGGCCCGCCCACTTTTGTTTCTAAGTGCTCCTAAACATGGATTCTATATGGACGACTGAGGTATTTTAACGACATAGGTTCATCTGTGTAAAATGTTCAAATTTTCATGTGCACCAGCAAGTGAACACTGCTCTGATTCTCGGGTTACCTTATGAAAACATACCTGGGGTTGTCTTTTTTCATTAAAATGCTCTGTTTTTCATTAAAATGCTCTATTCCAGCTTATAATGTCATCAAGTGGTAGTTTTCAAGTGACCAGCTACCTTTTACATTTTATTCAGTAGAGATGGGAGCACTTCCTGCATAGCCACATGACATCAAAGAATCTCTGTTGAACAGAGCGTGAGAGAAGAACTCAGCCTGCATATGCAGAGTTTGTATGTTAAACATGTGTGAATGAAGCAAAACACAACTCCAGATATGTTTTTGATCAGGAAAAAACATTATAACATAGATCATAAAATAATATGAACCCATTAAAATATGATAACATAGAGCCAGTAGCGTAGCATAGTTGCGCAAGGCCCCGGTGCAAGTCTGGCATTGGGCCCCCTCCTTCCAGCCTACGCCATCTCGACCCATCCGTGTGAGACAAACATATATTCACTTTCCATAGGATCTAACTCTACAGCTTAAGCCTTAATGTAGAGTTAGTTTCTCTATACAGGTTGAGGTTTATTAAAAAACAATAAGGCCTGCCACTGGTTGTAAACATTAAACAACAGCCTCTCGTCAAAACCACCCCTGAACAACATCACTGAAAGAAGCAATCAGACAAGAAATAGCCACGCATCAGGCAGCACCAGGGCTGTAGTGGGCATGGTACGAGGGTACGCCGTCTAGTACTGTCCTATAGAGACCTGAGACTTGAAGGACCGGGACTAAACCAGGACTAAACCAGGACCAGTGGCGGCTGGTGGTATAATTTTTGGGAGGGGCACCAAGGCCAAAATTATGAATATATATTATGAATAATATATGTATTATATATAGGCTATAGTATTATAACAAATACCAGAAACAGACATTTTGGTTACTATTGGCTGAACAATATCGATCAGAGCACAATGAACAGCCAAACGCAAACTTTACGCAACAGCACAACGTAACACGCCGCTCACACCCAGACCCAACAACGTCAGCAAAACTACAATAAGAGGCTACGATCACAACATGAACACAGATGCCGCTCCTACAACACACGGCAGAACAACCAGAGCAGCTCCATCGCACCTGCGAGCTCATTTATGCACTATTTAACTATTAACACTATAACACTATTTACCTGTGAGGTTTCATGTTCAGATTTGCCACAAACTAATGAAAACCAGCCTCTTACCTTTTCTAGAGACTGAAGCAGAGTGTTTCTTCTATTCACTGTCCCATTGGTTCTGTCTCCAAAAGTGTATTGTCCAATATGAAGAGATGAAATTGGTCCAAATCCTGGTCCAGTCTGGTCCGTGACGCGAGGTTCGGGAGTGGAGTGCACGAGCGGTTGTAAAATTAGTCTTAATCCCAATTCCCACTTAAATGAAAGTTACGGTCAGTCCATATCAGCACCAGGACACCAGGTAGACTTATGCCTCTGCGCGCTATGCTCAGGTCAAACTTTTACACCCAGAACGAGCGGGCAAAGGCGGGTAGAGCAGCGAGTGGCTGCCCTGGCCCCGGCGGCGGCAGGGAGAGCCCCGGCCCGGTAGCAACTGTCCCGGGTCCTGGCGGTGGGTCTGTCAGTGTGTCCGCTCTTTGGCTCTCTCCTCACCATTTCCTTTGTGGAGGTTTAGGCTAAAGTAGCTAGCTGTCACTAATTGTGAAGCTGCTACGAGTTGACGCAGCAGGTTGACGTGAGTGACAGGACAGTTGTCCAATCACACAACACTAAATAAACAGAGACTGTGATGTCATTGATCTGGGCGCTAAAGTTTGTGCCCTCAGCCCGAAGTGAAATGTGCAAATCAAAATAATTTTAAAATAGTCATAATAACGACCTGTGCTAGGGGGTGGGGCACCAGTTGCCGCTAGGGGGGGCCACCGACACCATCTGTACGGAGTTTGGGGAGACGGGCCAGTCCTAGATCGCGATGGGCCCTCAAAGTTCCATGGGCCCCGGTGCATCGCACCGCCTGCACTGCCGAATGCGTCTACATAGAGCTGAGGGAACATAGAATTGACCGCCTTTCTGGGCAGGTTTAAGATATGCACTTTTGAACAGAATCCAGCTATTAAGGAAACTGCAAATCCAGTCATAATTGCAATGTTTGTCAGAAGAATCGAATCAAATATTTGCCAAAATTGTTCAACCTTAGATCAGAGCATTGCCATGGCTGCAACTTTAGCAGATTGGCATAGCCATTTTGTCAATTGATATCTTTTTGTTCCACAAATAAGAGTAAACTGCTTATGAATTGTGGGATATCCTTGCACTGTACTGAACATATATACTTTATCTTTAGTGTACTATAAGTCAGCATGACATTTCAGCATGTGTGGAAGTTCCATGACAGATCTCATATTTATTCATCCCCTCTTTCACATGTCCAGGAGCGGTTCATGTGTGCGTTTATTTTACAGGCCCTGACCTCACACTTAAACAAAGCCCTTTTTATTCTGTGTCAAGTGAAGTATTTATTTCCACCCAACATAAGCACCGGCGTAAATATAACAGTGTGTCATAGGTTATACTTTAAGACTGACAGCACACTATTGAAGGATGTATGTGCCATCCTGCTATTCTGCACTCCATCTGTCATGCTGACTTTGCTCAAACAGGGCCGTCAAGAAGTCACGGTCAGAAGTGTGACCCTAGAAATATAAATAATTGGTAGCTCTCTTACTGTGTGGGTGACTATAATGATATCTTGCACTAGATACAGGGATAATACATGTTTATGAACTTAAATGCCAAATCAGACAGTGGTGAGTACGAAGTCTTTTTTGGAGCCTTGGCTTGACTGGTCATGTGTGTGTTTAAATGTTTACTTTGTGACTGTTCTGGAAGAGGTCCGTCATCTGCTTGTGTCCAAGGAGATCTTATTGCCTTATCTGGAAAGTTCTGCAGTATGACATTAAACATATCTGTCTCCATGGATCAGATCATAGCACTGGGCAATGTATAGAGTTCTAATATCTGGAGTACTGATCCTACTCCATGTGAGAACATTTTTGTGGGCAATAATATTTATAGTAATTAAATACATGCTAGATGGGTGTATTTATAAGGCCATACTAAGGAACATTTCATGCAAAGCAATAAAAGCTTCATGTTCCATGAAAAGTTGCATAGTGAATGTTCAATCTTTCTCACCTTTTTTGTGTAAAATTTGCTTGCAATATTTAAAATATTTTTTTAACTGTTTAAAAGACATACATAGCCCAAAAGAGTTATATTTTTTTATTTTCCTGCTCATTCTTGCATGTTGAAATTGTCCCTAAAATCTGCCACCACCAGAGCAAAATTGAGATATTGGTAATCTTTCTTTTGATTGTTAAATATTTTATTTAGTCAAGCACAGAGATAAAGCACTTCATCTACTTCTGAGCAGAATACAGATATCTTTTTATGATACTTTGAAGGTTGCTTCTTAAGGGTGTGCCATTTCAAGAACATCCATGTGAGTCAGACCAAAAAAACAGGTAACTGTGTTTCAACCTTGGTGTGACTTTTGAATAGCAGACATATTTTACAAGCGTTCATTATCGGGTGTGCAGGGCTCATGGAGGTTCAAGATGTTCAGACATAAAGCACTGGGCCCTTTAAAAGGTTGCAGCTGTATTCATCGTGTGCTACACAGAATGAAGGACTGTTATCAGTGAATCGTTTCGAACAGTATAAATGTGCTCAAGGCTTCAAATTATTTTAACTAGCAAAGGCTGCCCAGGTCAGTAAATACAGACCATTTTAGCAGTTGCTTTCTTTTTTCTACTTCTCCTGTCCCAAATTAGTCAATAGGTACATGCAGGAACATGCCGCACTGGTTTGGATAGAATGACTCTTATATGTGCTAATTATTATAGCTTTTCCGCATTCAGTAAAATATGGATTTTTAATGTATTTTTTTCACCTCACTACATTCATCCATTCTGAAGAAAAAATGCACATAATTTTGGTCTAGTAAGGTATCACCAGTCTTATTTGTGAATAAAACATGCTATCATGGTGAGAGAATCTAAAGCATTTTTAGCTTTAGTCTGAGAAGCTTACTAAAAGACTTATATTCTGTCAACACAAGTTTGCATTTAGCATATAAGCAAAGCTAAAAGATTATACTCAAACTTGCTTCAGCCTTTTCTCCTTCTTGTGTAGTATTGTGTAGTTTTGTGAGGTCTGGTCATATTCCCATTTTGTGCATGTTAAAAGACATATAAATACATCTGTGTGTGTAGGTTTGGTCCCAGTGCCCAGGTAACATGATTGCAGTGCAGACTGCAATGCCTCCAGGGTGTGCTGCATACTTATTGAGGCCAGGGAGAGGCCACCAGAGGTTCTGTCTAATGCAGTTATAACACCTGAATATAGGTGCACTTACCTTACCTCCAAGACCTCTTATGTATGACTTTGAGCACTGTAATTGTTTAGTTTTTGGAGAAAGAGAAGGGAGGAAACTTGGAAATGTTATGATTGCTGTTGTTTTTAATGGGGTTGTGTCCAGCAGCTGTCTGTGCATGCTAGCCTGGGCAAAACGTGAGAATGACCTTTGTGTAATGAACAGCACATAAAGGGCTGCAGGTAAAGAGGTGACCATCAGAGAGGTTACTGTTCTCTGCTGGTCCTAGCACACACATTCATCACCAGCCTTCCCACAGGGTATGCTGGCTTTAGACCATTCACCACCGCATATTATGGGATGGGTTGCCATGTGGTGCCTTTGCTACTCTGGGCACACTTGGCACGTGTTCATTACACAGGGCACCTTCAGGACTATAATGTGCCAGTGCTTCATATGTTTGAGTTCATTTTTTCCTGATGCTGGGCAGTGTGACAAAGCAATCAATACTATCAATTTATTACACTTTCACCTCCTGGACACACTATAAACCTTATTTACAAGTTAGAATTGTGTTTCTTTTTTATTGTAATTTATTTTTGGACTTGTGTTATTTTCCCCTTAAACAAAAATGTCAATGTTTGACACACATGTTTAATCTGCTTTTTGTTGCAGCTGCTGTCTGACAGTCAGGTGAACATGGTGAAAGTGGTGAACTCAGTGAGTGACGCTCTGAATGCCATGCAGAAGGAGAATGTGGGACTGAAGGCCCGAGTCAAGGCAGACCTGCAGAGAGCTCCTGTGAGAGGAGCGCGCTTCAAGGGCTGTTCTAATGGTAAGAGCTCCAGTGTGTCCACAGCATACATGTGTGTAGTGCATGTGACCCTGTGGTGCATGTGCACTGTCATATAGCCCAGCACATATGTATGCATGCAGCCGCACTCACACATATCAGTATTCACAGAGACTCGCCTCATGCAGCTCGTCCAGTATCCTTGGTGCAGATCTCAATGTTTTTTACAGTACATGAGAAATGACTTGCACATTCACTGGGCTCTGTAGCTGAGAGTCAGACCCAGGCCTGAGGCATCATCCCATTGGATGCTTTTAAGGCAGGCGCACACTGTTGATGGCATTCCCCTGTCGAATTTCACTTGCATAGGTAGCCAAAGATCGCAGAGTGAAGGCCACTCGTGTACAGCATGAGCTCACCGTAACAAAGATGAAGGCTCCAGCACATGCCTTATGCATGTACAAGAAGTTTAATAAACCTACAGGCATTCATGCAGTACTCCTGAGGATACATTTATACACTATACACTTCACTTGCACCGAATTTGAATGATTTATTTACAGTTTTTACTTATGACACTTTGTAGAACTTGGTATTAATATTGTATGTATGCTGTGGTATATACATGATGTTTTGACGGGTAATTGTATGGGGGTTTGTGACACTATTCTACTGTTACTAAATTTATATTTCTTGAGGCTTTGTTTCTCTGTTGTAACAGTGATAGTAAAGTGCCTCTAAACTTCTTTCAGGTTGTAGAAAATCAGTAGTGTTACCTGATAAAATCATATTTTAGAAACAAGTTACATTACAGTTAGTTACTTTTTTAAACAACCACTATTCTAGCAAAGAAATAAATAAAATCATTTTATTTTAGTTAGCATTTTTGAGGATCCAAATGATGACACTGATCATTTGAGTAACACTTGTATTTATGCCCAGTATATGCTGATTTAGGGAAGGCAAACTACATGAAGTTGTCAAAATGTTTACAGCAATACAATTATGCGTCTATGAGCTGCATTACAGACAAGTGACGCGTTAATGCTGTAATCACTTTAAAAACGTGGTTTGCATTATGTTATGGTATAAACGTTGAGCTCATTACTTTAAATGCCTCCAATACAGTACTATCTCAGACTTTATTAACTTTTCATCATCAGGTGTTTTTGTATACGGGTTGCTACTCCTACTGCAATATACTAGTATATTAAACTACAGTAGTCTACCATCACTCAATTTACCATCTGCATCTCCAATTTTACCATGTATATCCACCAGCTTGTCAACTTACCTTTGTTGTTTTATTTCTTCATTTTTCATCAATTATTCAAAGGCTTTTCTTTTAGGGATCAATGCTTTGAAACTGTATATCTGTTCAGTGTACTGTAGTTAACCCTGTGAAATCCAAAACATGCTGGTTTTATATATATTATATTTTTAACACCTTATAAAATCTGTGGAAATGTGGAAAGCATACTCTCAAAGACACTAAAACTCTTTGTAAAAGAGTTTTGTAATGATATATTAAACTCTGTACCGCTGGGCATTTTCAGCTCACTGTTATTTTATTCAGTAAACAAACCATGCATAATTCTTTACGACATTTGCTCCCAATTAGCCCAGAACAGCGGCTATGACTACAGCATTAAGATTTAAAGAATACATTGCTGATTGATTCATTATGTAGTGATGCTTGAAAATCTTGTAGGTTTCATGCAAATATGCGGTGATTGCTTCACTCTGACCCAGTTTAAAGTGGTAATATCCTAAAGCATGGTAAATGTCAGGAATAATGCTGCACCACTAACTTCAGCACCATGGACAGCGCTCCATTTTCTCAGAGCTGCTGCATTCAAATCACTATTTAGTTGAATCTTCTTGTGTGAGTGTTTTCTGAGGTTACAAATGAGTAGCAGAAAGATAAGCTCACTGTGTCATGGCCGTGCTGCGTTATTTCATTTCTCTATGCAGCCTTATTATTTTCCTAAAGCCACAAAAAGCCCTATTCAGCATCTGTGTGTACATATACGTTTTTAATGAAGAAGCTGCCACTCACTTGGCTATGGTTTTATATAAAAATATATATTTACAGTTTATGTACTCTGACAAGCCATGGGCTGTTGCCTGTCCAGAAATGTGTTTGATTTACCTACACCAATATTATATCTTTTGAATTAGAAAAAATATTGCATAACATAGTAGGAATAATATAAAAAAACATTAATACAGTTTATTAAACAAACAAACCAGCAATAGAGAAATTCTGGTTTTCCCCTTGACCAGTTGGTAGTCATTAAATATTCCTTAGTTTTGTGAGTTGTTTTACAATTCATAAATAAATAACAGGCACCCACATGTCAATGCACAGACATGTGGTTCTTCACCTGTGTCTCCCATTGAAACTTGGATATGTTTCAATGGGACACCGGCTGTGTTTGCAATACACTCCCACAAGAATGCATTAGCTTTTCAATGTTGTGTACTTCCACAGTTGACAGCAGCGAATCTCTGAGGAAAGAAACTGCAGCATCTGTTTGAGCCGGATGAAACCACTGCGGGAGTCCTACTTTCACTTCAGACACTCACACATACAGAACTTAGCATCACCCCAACAAAACAAGCTTTAACTAAACAAATTCTGTCATGTTGCCAAGACCTTTTCAAACTCATGGATAAGGTACAACTATACAACATGTTTGATTTAAATAGACCAATGACATTAAAGGCCCCATATCACACGACACTGACTCCAATGAGTTTTTAACCATGTTAGGGTTAGTAGAGATGGGAAATTCCAGCGCTGGAATCATCCAGATTATTCTAATGAAGGTGTATGGATTTTAAAAAAACACAATGGAGTACCACATTATAAAATCATAACGTAGAACAGAGTGTTTTGTATTTGAGAGAAGAACTTAGCCTCATTGTGCAAGGTTTGTGTGTTAAACATGAATAAAACAAACCACAACTCTAGGTTTGTTTTTGATGAGGAAACATAATAACATAGATGATAAAATAGCATAATATGGGCCCTTTAAGATTATGAGCCAGGAATTTTTCGTTGTCTCGTTGTCATTTCTCGTTATGTACTTCTCTTTTTCTGGTCTGGTTTAATGAGCTTATTGCAGCCGTTGCTAAACATTTCTGTGAGGATATGTACACTGTGCAAACAAAAACAACAAAACCACAATAATATTCAGACAGTTAGACAGAGATAAACTCAAGCAGGACGCACAATGTCTAATGTAATGTTTTAAAATGATGAAATGGTGGGTAGGAACATAGTGGAGCTGATTTGGACTAAGGCTGTCGGTGAAGTGCGGTCAGGGCAAGAATTATCATCTGACAACTGACAACAGAACACTTGCTGTAAATAATGCTTGGGACATTTTGACACATTCGCTGGACAGACTGTATGCCTAATTTGTTAGCCCTATCCTCTGCTTGTAAATACATAATCTATTTTGACTGTAGCAGGAATCCATTGTCCACTGGAACTGGACTTACTAAAATTGATATATAAACAATATATTTATCTCAAAAATATCAGAAATAAGACAACATTGAACCTTTCTTGAATAATTTTAGAATGGTTGTATTCAGAACTACTATAAGAATATATGGTAAAATCAGACTATTATTCATTTATTATGTAAATGACATTATTTTGAATAATCATTGCTAAATGCTGTAAATACTGGTGATTACAGAAACTCATAAATCTACAAAGGAAGTAAGAGGGCAGAGCTTAGAGCAGAGAGTAGAGTAGAGAGTAGAGTTTTTTGTCTTTGGTGGTTACATCTTCCATGGTTTGAGCCAAAACATAAACAAAACAGAGATAAATGGATGACAAATCATGCTATAATTTATATATATATATGTATCTCAAATACTGTACCTAGTATAGGTTTTCTAATCCAAGTTTAGGTAAAATGTAAATATATGTACACATGATGATGATGATAATACTATCATTATTATTTGATACTGACATATAGTGCATATCAATGTACTATAGTCATATTTCTACTGTAAATGTAATGGGTCTTCCTTTACATGTACAGTGTAAATATGACTATGACTATTATAGCAAAGGTGCTAAATTCCATCTGTTCTTGTTAGACAGGTAACACAGAAAACAATTACATACCATTACAAAAAAGCTAATATAGTTCAGTTAAAAGTGCGACTTGGTTTTGGATTAACCAAGATGGGTACTATTAAAACCTCAAGAATATCTGAAACTTTATACTAGGAAAAGTCTGAGTTCCTTTTATGGTCTACCATCTATTTATATTCAGGGCTCTGACCCGCAGAAGTCTGGCATACATAATCTATGACATTGTCCTCCACACAGAAGCTCCTTAGCAGCTTCCTGGGAATAGCTTTGGTCTCCCTTGTGCAGCAGTGGTTCCTCAGTCACAGACAAGGGCACTAGTGTTCTTCAGCCTGTCTATCCGCTCCCATGGTCCAGCCTTCTCTAGTCACTAGTGTCTCATATATATCCATCTAAGAATGATTCATTTTAACTAGCTGCTGTTTGATGACTCAAGCTTTGACCTTCAAATAAATGCCATATCCTTAGTGTAATTGACTTCATATCATATATTTCATATTTCATTTCATTTATACAAGCAGCCATTTTATTTTCTAACAGTACATACACGGGTCATACACTTCATGTGGGTCTATTTCACGTTTTTATTTATTTGTTTATTTGTTTATGTATTTATTAGAATCTCCATTAGCTGCGCTGAGGGCCAGCCAATCATCCTTGGGTTCTGTAATTAAAAAGCACTTTAGAGTTTTAATTTCATACAGACATGTCTTTAAAACTATATAAATAATATAGTATAATTTAATAAAACAGTCTGAATTAATTTACATCATACAAAAATAATTAACTTAATTATGTTTTTATCAAAGTAAATTGTAGATTTTCTTTTCTCTATGTGCAGCATTTTGGAAACATGAATCTTGTTTATGGGATGTGCTATTAAATGGATTGGATTGGACACTACATGGGTCAAATGCAGAGGACAAATTTCCCTATGGGACAACAAAGTGTATCTTATCCTTACCTTAAATCCTCAGAACATAATTTTTCACGTGTTTTTTCACATGTTGTTTCTGCTCTGATTGTTGTAATCTCTGTCTCACCTTGATTTATTTCTTTTCTATCCACCCTTTGTCCGCACACCACCCAGTCCTTGTATTCTGTCTTTGTTCTTGTTCGCTCCGTGCTGCACTTATTCTCTTTTGTCCTGTGTCATCCATCACCCCTCCCTTTTCCAATCCATCTCATCATCTGTTCTTTTCTTTCTAAGGCCTTTCTATTTCTCCTAATTGCTTCTCCTTCTTTGCAGCTCTATTTTTCTGCTTAAACCTGTTCAGTACTCCAAATGTTTACTTGGACCAATATCCCATAACCTCTCCTCTACCTGTGCTAGATTTCACTCTCTGCTTAGGAACAACAGCTAGTGTTTGTTTTCATTTACAGTAACAGAAAAGTAAAACATCTTTATCAAAATGCTTGGACAAAGTAGAGACCTTTTAAAAGTTTGTAGTGAAATACATTCTAATTTCCAGAATGGAGGCAGTGAAATGGAACATAATGTGATAATGTCAGCAGACACCTTTACTAGTATAAAATGGTTGTTTATGCTTTTTCTACTAAGACTTAAAAGCATTAGCATATAGATCTCATGCCAGTTAATGATTGAAAATATATTATGGACTTTTACTCCTAGTCACCTCCATTCCATATACACTACCAGTCAAAAGTTCTCTCAAGAAGTCACTGTCTTTTTCTTTAAGTGTGCTAGACTTTATATACATGATCCACAATGAAAGATATATGGAATTATGTAGCACAAATTGTTAAATAACTTGCTTTAACAGCTCTCCCTACCCTAGGCCTTCTCTTAATGATCTTTGTAATAAAGTTACCTGATATAGTTTTCACTTCACAAGTGTGCTGCCTCGGGGTCTAGAAATTAAAAAGTCTAAACCAGAGTTTAAACTAAGGGTAAAGGTTATCCTAATTTAAAAAAATCTAAAACACATTTTGAGTTATTTTGAGTTTATTTTTTGTGTGCTACATTCTATATGTGCCATTCAAAGTTCTGATGCATTCATTGAGAACCTATTGTCCAAATAATCATGGGAATAAAGAAGTTTTTTTTTATTTAAAAGTGTGTCCAAACATTTGACTGGTAGTATAGATAACATTTTAAAGTTTATTTTTTGTTTGTTTTTTTTTACTCATAATTTGAAAGAATGGATACATTAGTTATGGTTCATGGTTCATCCTTCTCATACTTAAGTGGGGTTGTTTATTCTTTATTTCAACAAACCTCAAGAACAGGCACTTTGAAGTACACTAATGATCCCAGAAAGAGAAAGAGAAAAAGTTCAATATTTGTATAAGGGCAAAACTTTTCCTCCTAATTTTAAATAATCTTCCCAGTATTAACCACCAAAACATGTCCACCATACAGACTGCATGAAAACCCTTTAAACCCTTTTTACAGCTCATGTTGTGCTTTATACCCACGGTGGGAGCTCATTTATTCAGTGTCTGCCGGATTTTGCCTGTCCCTAGGCTCGCGTCCCCGTGACTGTGGTGACCTGTACGCCAGCGGTCAGAGAGAGGACGGCATCTACTCTGTGTTCCCCCTGCACCACCCCACTGGCTTCCAGGTCTACTGCGATATGACCACTGACGGAGGGGGCTGGACGGTGAGTCAGAGCACATACACACAGCAAAATGCATTCATGGCGCTTTGTATTTTTTATGGACTAAAAATACTGGACATAGAATTACACATTGTTCTCTTCAATGGATGCTTTTCTTTAGTGTTCTTGAGCACTGTAGATGTATAAATCAGCTGGAGAAGTACAAACACACAGAGCACTGTCCACTTACATCTCATTGGCCCATCTCACGTACAGTTCAAGTGCTCAAATCTGGACTCCAACCAAGGATATTTTTAGTTCAAGGTTTGAATTGACAATGGTTTCTGGATGATAGCTGAAACATTTGGATTTCAAAAACATTGTCCAGATGAGCGACTACGTTGCTATCATTCAAGAGAAAAAGTGCAATCTATTTAGACACAAGCCCCTTGAATCACACAATGCCAAAACTAATTATTTAGCATTATGACAAATCATGTGAAGGTGTGAACAAGTGCAAGGATGAGAAAAAACAAAACAATAAAACCCAATTTAAAAGAAGAAAACAAAACAAATACAAGATATTCAGTCAGATTTGTCACAGGGCTGAGCATTGATATTGGAATAATGCCTTTCTGCATAAATTGATAAAATTCCAACTTAGATTTTTCAGTATAAATAAATTTGCCATTTATCAAATTGTTTTGAGTACAGATGGTGCACAGCTGACCTGCTTATTGGCTGTTTGTAAATGTTGCATTAATGTCTTTGTAAAATAATTTTATTTAAAAAGATATTGAAGCAGGATTTCAAAGTGGTTTTGTCTGCGTGTTTTTCCCTTGATCAAACATCTGTCACTTGTCTGGCCTCTCTAAAGTAAACAGTGTTGTTTAAGTAGAGCCGGCAGACTGAAGCAGGGCGTCTGTGGGGAATGAGAGACAGCGAGGTGAACAAACACTGACACGATGCTGTTTGAAGTTATATTTGGAAATGTGCTTGAGTATTTTACTGTGTGCACACGTCTCACTTGTTACAGCCGTTTAGGTCTCTTTGTTGTGCAGCTATAGTTGTGGTCCTGAGGGAAAGCAAAGCAGCTCTTAATACAGAGCTGAGGGCCTTGTATTGTAACACATGAAAGAGCATCACATTTATACAGGCATCCATCAAAACCACTCATTTTACAGGTTGTGACATGTTTTAGTGAGACATCACACAGCTGATTGGGAGATCGTTTGGTCCTAAAGGATAGCAGGCTGCAGGAGCATTTGAGACAAATTGTCCCAGTTCCTGTTGGTATTGAATCTGTTTTGCTGCAGATTTGGCATGAGGGGGTGAGTCTGTCTTGTTGACAACTTTTTGACAGATATTTTTAAATGTGGACGTTCCCAGATATTCTTTCTTTTTTCAAAGTGTAAAAATCTTCCTGAGGTGTGAAAATGTTCTGATATTTTCGGAAAGAATCATCTTCAAACTTGCAAAAACCCACAACAGACTTTCTGGACACATCCAGAAGGCAACAAAAGAAAAAAAGAGTTTATGCTTTGCTGTAGTGAGTATACAGTACCTTTATTTATCCTTTGTGATTTTAACACAATCACATACAGTATGTAACAAAGTAAAAACACGTTTTTTAACCACTAATTCACTAAATTCACTAGAAACCAATATCAGTATATCAATGTACCAATGTATTTCCCTAATGAAGTATTGACACAAAGTCTGCATCACTTCTGCGCCACTTTAACTCAATCTCTTGAAAGGTACAGCAAAGATTTCTATTTTTTGCTTTGGTAAATCTGTGAGGAACAGCAACAAGTGGACTAGGTACGGTCAAGACCTTCCATAGCTCAAAAGGCAAGAGTGGCTGAGTGACAATGTGCTAAGAGCTACGTGATGGACCAGCTCTTGGGAGCAGAGTGATACTGTGTGTATTCAAACTTTAAGCTTAAACTAGTGTAGGCTTCCTGCAGGATGGTAAAAAGAGATTATGGTTTACAGAACATTATCACATTATGCTGGAATACTATTGCAAGATGATCTAAAAACTAATGATGAGAAATCTTTAAGAAGTTAATTCCTGAACGATGGTGTTCCAAATAAACTTAACATTATTTGTCGACTTTGTAATGACTCTGTTTCTGTGTGCATATATGTGTGTTTCTTTTTTTCCTCCCTTGTAACACGTAATCCCCTCCTCTTGTTCACCTATGGATATGCTCTCAAACACCACTCACAGACTGATGTGATAGTGATCCTTCCTGGGGTGTTGATCCGATCGTGAACACCCCTGAGCCTCATTATGAGATCAGCCACGCTCTATCCAACAAGGGCAGGTAGCAAGACAGGAAACTAGTCAGCGAGCTGAGTAGCTTACTGTCTGTCTTAAATAAAGAATAAGCCATATGCCAGCCTCTCATTAGCATACTGTGACACTGTGCTGCTCCTTACTGCAGATGCACTGGGAGATGAAGAGCTGCATGGGGAGAGGGAGACGAGACACACTGCAGAGAAAAGTGGTACCATGTGTTGGTCTTGATTCAGAGATGGCCCCTTGATAAAACCCTGGCAGTAGAAAGGAGATTTAATAACTGCTGTGCTTGTCTTTTGTAAAGTGATGGCAACAGAAAACGGCCTCTCATTTAGTTGTCAATCAGCTATGACAGCAATGACCTTTAAAAGACTGTTCCAAGTTCTGTGAAAGAAAAATATACAGGTGACCTCATTTTCAGACCTTTGACACTACTTGCAAAACAGTGATGTTAGATCAGTCAATATTTGCAATACTTGATGTAATTTGTTGACATTTTAGTTTATCTGCACACACACGCACACACGCACACAGGCACACACGCACACACGCACACATATATATATATATCAGTATTGGATCAGTATTACTTGGTATTGGACCGTTTGAGGAGGGCTTGTCAGTGTTTTTCTATGACTAAATTATGTTATACTGATAAAGACTTTACTTACTTCTGCAGCTACCTTAGACAATGTGGGTTGCATAGAAAATATTGACAACATAAATTGAGCTTGGCAGAAACTGTCTTAATCGCCAGAGGTGCTAGCAATGAGCTTGAAAACAAGAAGGAAGCCAGTCTCCTGGGACTGAATGACTAATAGTAAAACTGCCCATGTCTGTTTTCAAAGACTTGGCCCAGATAATGAAAATAATACTCTTCAGTAAACAATGACTCCCAAGTAAGCCACCAGGAAATGTCTTCAGAATGAGAAAGTCTATTCATATTTCAGAGTTATTTTCTGTTATTTGGAGGGAAAGTATTGCTCTCTCATCTCCATTCATGCACATAACTAGCTCAATTTTAGGGAGATTTTCACTGGAATTTAGTGTAAAAGCCTGATTGTATTTGTTATTTATTTTGAGTCTATGTATTGGTCATAATTTGCAGTATACTAGTATATAGAGCCCTATCTCATAATCTGCTTTTATATGTGCCTTTGAGAATGCTCTTAAATGCCATATATTTTGCATTATGCTGGTAAGCTTTCCTTGAACACCTTGTCCTTGGTCTTTCACTTAGATTTACAACAGAGGCAAACCATAGTTTTAAATATGGATGTTTTTGGACCCAATACCAGTAAAGGGGCTTTGAAGGTGCCAATAGCCGATATAACAGCCAATATATATTTAGTGATGTAAAAATTCACTGTAAATCTTGAGCTGATTCTAAAATTTAGATTGTGGATTGTAGATTGTATTTGATTTTAAATTGGGTTTATTTAGGCAATAATTACTGTTATTTTGCCTCTTTACCTTCATATTTAAAGACAGTAGGTAGGCCTAATAGCATTTTTGCATGGCATTCTAGCCAGTAAACCAGTAAGTAAGTAAACTACCGCTAGTATCCTTTAGCGATTACCGTAAATGTGTATGCGCCGCGGTAATTAATTATATGCATAAATGCCGATCATTCACACCTCTATTCACAGTTCATTTACATACCAGTGCAGGTCCAATAACATGTATACAGCCACTATAGTCACTTTACAGTAGGCCAATGTAAGAAAAAACTGGCTGTGTATGTGTATGTGTATGTGTATGTGTAGCGCTAAACAATGAGAAAGAAAGCAAAGTAGCTTCAAAACTGACACATTTGCAACCTCTCATACAGGCTCCTCTCAGATCACAAGTCTTCACAAATAAGTGTCCTTTTAATCCTGACTCAAAACAATCATTCATAAAAAGAATATAATCTAGTATGTTGACAGCAGCTGTGTGTGTCCTCTGTCTGTGGGACAGGCCTCTCTTCTCCACACTCATACTTTGATAAAAACAAGCAGTAACATTTATTTATAGTTAATATCTTAGATCAGACTTAAGAGCAGTTAAAGCACTTCAGTGTTGCACACTGGTGTAAACAAGTGCACGTGAGTCACATGGCTCTGCTGGTGAATTCAGGGGCAGTATGGCATCACAAAAACTGACAAATTACTCCACAGATAAATATTGATACGGCCCCACATTTCTGTCTGTAAATTGGATTAAATGGACATAATATATGCCCATGTGGACTATCGTCTAGATTGCCGATATGTCTCCAAGTGCCCATATCAGCCTATAATATCAGTCAACTGATATATCAGCCAGGCCCTACTTCAAATTAGTTGGGATGCATTCTATGTATCTATGTTTCTTGGCTAGAAAGAGCTGGCCTCCATCAACTTACTTACATCAAGTATCATGCCCTGGTGAGTAACAGTAAAGGTCCTATATTACTCAAAATTTACTCTTGTGAGCTTTAAACCATGTTATAATGGTGTTACCTCATTGAAAACATATCAGGAATTGTGTTTTGTTTCATTCGCACATGTTTGAGTAATCTTTTATTATTAGTCTGTGAAGCAGTAGTGTTCAATAGAGATCGGCTACTCCAGTCCTACAATCATCCATACAAGTCTAGTGAAGATATATAGAGTTTAAAAACACAGTGGGCACTTTCTGTATTACCACATGACATCACAAGGTGGAAAAGAGTGTTTTTTGTTTGAGAGCAGAACTCATCCTAAATATGATAAATGATCACATTTTTAAATAG